ATTAAAAGTGGAATTAAACTGTGCATGTAAACGTACTGATTGACTGAACGTTACTATTTCTGTGTGCACGTTTTGTAAATAACATGATTATCGTAGATTAGCTGGGCTAAGCGTTAGCTGTTAACGTTAGCCGTTAGCGGTGTCTGTAATAACCATAAACACAATTTACAGTCGAAAAAAGATAATAAATCACAATACCTTGCGGTATATTTTATCACATCAGCATATTGCAACGCATTTCAAATCACAGTAATATTGGATCGTGACTCATGTATTGTGATCGTATCGTATCGTATCATATCGTGGGGCCTCTGGTGAAAAACAAGCAACTAACACATGACAATCTAAAGTACTAAGCTACAAACAGGGAGAAAAGTATAGAAATGTGGCTAAAATGAAAACAAAATAAAGTCTTACTTGAGCAGGGAAGAGACGGGATCTGAATTACATTTAGCTTCAGATATGGCCAATACTGTATTCCACCGTCATAAAAAATCATTTCTCATAAGGTGTATGCTCACCTCTGTCTCTGCACTGCAGCTATTTAAGACCCCGACAGGCTGCTCTTCACCAGCTTAGACTACTCTCGAGTATTTATGATTCACAGGAGATTTGACAAATAGGTTTTATTCTTAACTTTGCAAGAAGAAGTAGAATTTAAAACATTTTTACTTTGAACCAAAACAGAGAATGTTGACTTCTTGTTGGAAACGATCAGCCCCCTGCCTCTTCACGCAGTGTATTCATGGTATTATATTTGTATGAACATAATATCACCATAACACTCCATATAATACAAAAAAAAGTAATTTCAATGACTTGCCAAGATGGCTTTTTCACTGCAGCGTGATCTTATTAAGGTGGCACACATTCACCCTTTGCCAGATGGATTCATCACACCGGCACACCGGCAGTGGGCTCATTAGCTTTGGGGGCTTCTCTCTGTGCCACGGCTGAAAAACTTACTCTTCAGTTTGCTCTCTTTTCAGCACCATTTTCTTTGTGTTTACGGACTCAACGACCACAACATAGCATGAAATAATCATGTTTCAGTTAGCCCTACATAAGTTCACCTCATCGATAGGTGTTGGTTTAATTACATGTTTTGTGCTTTGAAGAGGCCACCTGAGAATCGAAGAGCATCATTGAAGTGCAACATGTTTTGTATATTGATGGACGTGCAACAACCATCATTCTGGCCTTTTCAGTGACAGTGACATTTAAACTGAGCAGCAGAAGTTATTTTGATTGACTGTGTGTCTGCAGCACTATATTTCCATGTTTCTGTTTTGAAAGCAGCTAACACTGTGTAATTTCTATGCTAATCAATTATAGCCTGAGACCATTTCCATCAGATCACTTTCCTCTGATTGGAAAAATGACACGAACCAGAAAACTATTTTTCTTAACTGTGAATTTTAACAGTTATTTTCCTCATTTGTTTTCTTTGGCACCAAATGGCTTCAACTTCTGACTGAGATTGATGGACATTGCTCTACAGTGTGCCTTTTTGGACAGTTGTGATATTTTTCATTTGCTTAGCTATGAAACATGTTTATCGTCTCATCTGCACGCTGCAGGCTCATTTCATTCACATTGAAACTGTTCATTTCCAGCTTCCACCTTCAAACATCACTGCTGCACTGTTGGAACAAAACCACTGATACTTTCTGTCAGCCGTTAACACTTTTTCCTCTCTTTATCTCTCTGGTAGGACTTTGGGGATGATGGCTCACTGTACATCACCAAGGTGACCACGACCCACATGGGCAACTACACCTGTCATGCTGATGGCTACGAGAAACTTTTTCAGATTCACACTCTTCAAGTGAATGGTAAGAGGCTGCCACAAAGACATGAAACATGTTTTTATTCAAATTATGTCATTACTGACAAGAGTGTAGGTTTCATTTCAAAAAGGAGGAGGGAGACACAAATGAAAAGGGGAGTTTGCAGTCCTCGGTCCTCCCTCTAGGAAAGATTGAGCATCAGACTCTTAATTTCTTGTATTCTAGTGAATTTTTCTTAATCAATTCATGGTGGAAATGTCTTTTTTTCCTTAAAAATAAAAGTCCTCCGCTGGTTCCATGCTTTTATTTGGGTGGAAGGGGGGACAAATTCGCATGTTTGAATATTGAGGGGGACATTTCCCCTGCTTCCCCCCAAAAATCTACACCTATGATTACTGCAGTAGATGTCTAAACATCAGCTCTTAAGTCTCCTCCCACAAGTAAAACTGGAGTCAAGTACTTTTTTTAATGCCACAGCATACATACTGTATGTGCTCTGTTCTCCTTTGAGAAAAAAAATGACAGAAAAATGATAATATTGTATTTATTGGTTTCATGATAGAGTTCCCAAGTTTTACATCAATCCAACAGAACGTTGTTCAGTATCTGTTCAAGTAGATGGAGACCTTATTTCAACACAGCCAATCAAATCAGAAAGCAGAAATGTTGGCGCTTGAAAGTTGAGCAGTTTCAGTGATGGTTGGAGTTTGTTTGGCCTGTTTAACAGCTTGATGTGGGATGTTAGCCGTTGTTGCTGTGTTAGCTTGTGCTAACCAGGCAGAGACAGCAGAAGGAAAGTGGCTAAAGGAGACGGTCTTTCAGCACTGGGTTGAATGAGGGCTAGCTCAACAGCTAAATTCTAATTCTGAGGGAGACATTGAATGCTCATAATAATAGGCTCCAGTCTGAGATAGCATCACAACTGTTTATGCAATTTTCACTTGCCCCCTCATTTTCGTTGACAAAAGAAGCCTAAAAACGTCACAACGTGCATTGCAGTTTTTTAGAAAGGCCGCCATGAAATCCGGTATCTCAGGCAGCAACAATCACAAAAAAGCAAGCAAAATTCTGGAGAGACTGTCAAATAGGAAGACCACATTTTCACACTGAGTTAGAAAGCAGCTACACAACACATGAGCCACAGACTCTGAACAACAAACCACATTAGCTTTCCTGCTAAAGTCACTTTCTTATCTGACTTACAAACATGATCATACGCATTGTCCATCATGTCAGCTTGTTGAATGAACAAAAAGTGTTCTGCTAATGTCAGTTTGCAGGATAGATAATTAATGAGCTGCTCAGCTACAGCACATTAATAGAAACATACCTGCAAATGCCACTTCAGCCCAGTAAGATGCTGCTGTGGTCCTAATTCTTCAGTATCACTAACAACACGCTGTCTGCCCATGACATGTAGACAGGTTAGTTTACTTTGTCTCTCGTTCCCATCGGTGTAACACTGCCAGACTAGCTGCTATCAGTCAGACAAGACACCGACACGCTCCTCCAGCCGAGATGAGAAAGAACATCTCTGATTTCCCTGAAGACCTTTTTTCTTTCTTTTAATAATTAACACTGTGAGCGATACTTTAAAAACACGTTTACATTGTTCTTTTCTTTCTTGAGGTAAGTGTTGGTGTATTTTGGGGTCTATCAGCCACTATATGGCTGTCAGATGGAAGATTTAGATTCCAGCTCAACATAAAGACAGATAGATTTGCTCTTATTGTACAGATTTACTGACTTGTGTTGTGCCGGCAAAGCGATTATAATAGTCTGTTGTCACTGGTTAGAGGGATTTGTTCCAACAGCTTTTATCTGTGAGCAAAATCTTCAAATCTTTAAGACAGACAGAGTGATCTACACTGTGACATCTTTTTCTTTGGATTTTCTCTTGAAGTTTGAGTTTTAGCACTCTCTTTTTTGTCTAATGGCTCAAGCACTGCACCAGCTTCAGCTTCTGTTTGTTTTAATTTATGCTAGTTGTTGGTGATTCTGGTCTTGTACTACCTGTACACCAGTCCTTTTTTTAACAGAAAAAGCTCCTGACTGTATGTTCACAAACATGAATACGGCAAATTAGAGTCAGTAGAAGAGTGGAAATCCACTTTTAGTAAAATAAATTGGGTTATTGCTTTAAGTATTTATTCCTGGGATACAAAGGTCCTTTCCAAATGAGTCCCTCCCCAGCAGTACTTCAAAACAGAGTGTTTCTGTGAATAGCTGTGGATGGCTCTCTTTATTAATGGAGACACTACAAAAAAAAAAAGGGTACACTGAGTGACACCATGCTGCTCTCATGAAGCTGTTATGTGCTGTTCTGGTATGTTTTTTAATGTCTCCTATAAAAACACAATATCCACAACACAATTTTACTGCTTTAAAATCAAATGATAACAGGACAGAAATGTTTGGCAGGTAGCTCGACAGAACTCATTTGTGTGACATCTTACTGCTTACTGTACTTCTGTTAAGGGGTAGTGAAGTATTGTGAATGAGTGTATGAGCACTCTAGTCTCTGGCAGTAGGTCATGCACCTGGATCAACATCCCTCTGACATCATCAGTGTGCTGCTCCTGCACGTCAAAACTTGTTTGTGCTTTGTGCTTCTTCAGAGCCAAGCTAATTTTCCAATGTTGAAGTTAATACAATTTAACAAAACCCTCAGTAATTCTGAATAAAAACCTTGTAAGCCACTGCAGGTTTAGACTATTTTGGCTATGCTAATGAGTTAACTTGACAATAGACCTCAATATTAGCGAGTTTATAGTATGCTGTGCTAACAAGTAAGCTTGCCAAACTATTATGCAGGTAGAGATGATAACAATGGTTCTTGATTAAAAATTATCCAGGGTCAACATGGCAGTGATAGTCGACATTCAACAGGATCACTGCAGTCTTGCAAAAAAAAAAAAAAGAAAAAGTTTTGAATAGGCTATTAAAAAGGAGGGAAATGTGTCTTTAGCAGATCTTTGCAACTGCAAAATGACATTACCCTTAATCTTAATATTAATGAACACTATTTTATTCTACTGGCAAGCTTACTTGCTAGCATAGAGAGCCTAGTCAGCAAGCTAACTCGCTAATATCCTAGTCTGTTGGCAAGCTTACTTGTTACTTGTTAGACAGCAAGCTAACTTGCTAATATTCTAACAAGCCTAGTTAGCAAGCTAACTTGCTGACCCTGCAGTTGCTTATAAGGTTTTTGTTTAGGGTTACTGTGCACTGTGTTTAATTGTTTTAACGTGAATTTGGAAAACTAGCTTAGCTCGGAAGAAGCAAATAGGATGATTGCAATGTTGGCCCTGGAATGAAATGTGGGACGTTGATCCAGGAGCATGTCCTACTTGGCAAAATCACATTGTGCCTAGTCTCCTGGCACACGTAGTACTGCTAAAATAGTTTGTCATTAGCTCTTGGGAATTAAATTACTACTGACCTTAATGGCTGTACCAGCTACAAATAGGTCACAACTTACTCCTCATTAAAAAGGATGTATAGACTGTAACACTTTCAGGTCCGGAGTAATTGCATCCCTGGTACCTACAGGAGGGGAGAAAAACAAGTACCATCATATTTTCAGAATTTTGGCATCAACCTGATGCTGATGTATCGGTTCTGGTGGCATCCCTATAGGCGTGTAATTGAAGTCAGCCTTGATACCCATTGTCTGTGAAGAGTTTTATATTCCACTTCCTGCTAATTGGTTTGGGCCAGTCTTCAGTGTGGTGAACCTGCCATGTGAATGTTGAATCAGAGCGAACAGAGAGGGCAAAGGTGTAGCAGCTGGATTGAGTTTGCACAAATGAGCCTGTTTTCTGGTCCTAATGAGTTGAATGTGAATAAACCACAATGTGGCGAAGTAGAAAGCTCCACGTCTTCATTACATTTGACAGACAGTTAGTTCATTATCATTCCTCTAAAAGATCACTCCAAGGTTAATTGCAATGATCTACAGGTCTTATTATACCAAGTATTGTGTTTACGGAAACAGAGCGAATCTCATGAGACCCGTGACTTTTGGTCGTAATTGATACTGAAACTTTCAGATGACCTTTTTTTTAACTGCAGACTATGAATTTCACATTTACAGTTGGGGTGAAGTCTCCAAGGAGCAGCTTATCACCCTGTCATGAAATTTCTAAAACTCAATTAAGAAACTGCAGAACGAGTAATTCTGAGAAACTGGATTCAGAGTGCTGTCCATCACTCTGAACCCACACGAGAATGACAAGATATATACTATTTGAAGTTTTATTCAGAGGAGCTGATGAAATTTAGACTGGAGGTGCTTTTAGAGAAACTTTTGATTTCCCTGTGAAGCAGAAAGGTCTCTACTGTAAGCTTGTGCAGAGGATCATTCAGCAGTTTTGGGCTCTAATCCCTACTTTCCCCACTTACACACACACACACACGCACTGAACTCATCAAAATGTCCCCCGTGGATTTTACACTTGCACTCTGTGCATTGTCCGAGTGCTTTTGTTGACAGTCAGCTTGTTTGTGCTGTCTGCCTTATGCTGATGAACACACTGTAGTGCTTTCTTCGTTGTACACTATTATCTTCGAGATGTTCATTTTGTTGAGATTATTTGTTATCTTCAGTGTGCTATGTCGGCTCCTTTTTCTTTAATCTATAGCCCTTTGTTGCAGTGACCCCGCTTTACCCACAGGGATCAATAAAGTTGCATCTAATTTGTACTGTGGCTGCAAAGTTTGTCCACTCTCCCAGCCACTTTAGCAGAACACAAATCGTTGTTTGGACTAAATTAATGAAAGTCTTGCTTGAATCGTCAAACACGCCGACCTCTTCTGCTGTGGGAAAAATAAATTTAGTTTTCCACTCGGGGAAGCTGCATTAATTTTGAAAAAGATAATTTGAAATCTAAGTATTTCTGATGGGTAAAATGAAACAATGTGGGTCCTAATGTTGTTTTACTTCTGCCTGGCAGCATCATCTTTCAAAAGGTGGCTCCTGCTGTTTGCAGATATTAATGATACATAACACATGCAATACTGATGCAGTGTACATACCCAGTTAT